AGGCGCCCGCCACAACGCCCGGCTATTTTTTGGTTGCAGCCATCATTGTTGTTTGGCAGGCCTGGGCTGGGGATTCGAACCCGCCACTTTAGGTGTATGTGGCTGGCGTCTTAGCCACTTGAGCCACAGGCGCCAAGCCTTCATTTGCTTTCTTAATCTACTTTCTTAATTTATTAAGCATAATGCTTGAACATGCTTATCTGGACACACTGGATTAGTCTGGTAGAAAACAAAAAAGCAAAAAGACTCAGCTAACTACAGAAGTGAGTGATACATGGTGTCAGGTAGAAAGAAGAGAAAACCACATGGAGTCAGAACTAGGTTCAAGGTCAGTGGAGTCCATGCCGCATGTGTCATACCTGCAAACAGGCTTGCTGAGGTAGTAGATTGGTCCCACCACCCACAGTTCCTATTTCTATAGAGGGCATGGTACAACTGATATATAAATCTTCATTTGTGGGACCAGTTGCTTCCATCAAAGTAATGCAGTTTGAACTACCAACATTCTGTGCTGCATCCTAAAAAAAAGAAAAAAAGAAAAAAATATACACTATACCTCCTTCCCTTAGAACAACATAAGAGAAGAGAAGTGGAGAAGTGGAAGCTGGAGCACCCACCTGTCCACAGGCAATGTAGATAGCAGTGACAATGTTGGCCGCATGGGCATTGTAGCCTCCGATGCTCCCGGCCATGGCAGAGCCCACCAGATTTTTATTAATGTTTACCTCAATCATAGCTTCTGTAGTAGTCTTTAATACCTGGAAAACGGAGTTGTGTATATTTTACCTCTTCGTCTTCAAGATTCAGGAGAATGATACCTAGAGCTATCATTCTATAACTCCAGAAAACGAAAGAGTTTAGATGTAGCCCAATTTAAGCCCTGTCTTCAATAAAAAGAGTGTCAGTAAAGTTTATACCTGTGAATGCCACACATAGATGGACAAGGTGAAAACATAAGCCCCGTATTTAATGGAAAACATAACCCCCATACTTGACTTAGTGTAAAATGCTACTATGGCTTTCGTCAATTTTTTTCATTCAAGTAGAATTACAAAATGAAGAGAGAAAATATTTATTGGATCACTCACTTCTCTGACAACCTTGGCTGGAATGACAGCTTCACAAACAACAGACTTTCCTCTTCCTTCAATCCAATTTATAGCAGCAGGTTTCTTGTCGGTACAATAGTTACCACTAACTGCTAGAATCTGCATTTCGGGGAAATACTCATGAAGTTTTGAAAGGGCTTTCTCTGTACCCTATTAAAACAACAACAACAAAAACAACCAAACACACATTAAAATGCACCAGTATTCATCCTTATATCAGAGGGGTTTATCTGTATCTACAATGTATTTCCAAATATGACTATACCTCAAAGAAATTGAGCAAAAAAAAAACAGCTTCTATTAACCATCACAATGACTGATTTCTCAGGTGATACACTTCTAATGTACTTCTTTCTAGGTATGAAAATCAAGTTCTGGCTTGGCGCCTGTGGCTCAAGTGGCTAAGGCGCCAGCCACATACACCTAAGGTGGTGGGTTCGAATCCAGCCCGGACCCGCCAAACAACAATGATGGCTGCAACCAAAAAATAGCCGGGCGTTGTGGCGGGTGCCTGTGGTCCCAGCTACTTGGGAGGCAGAGGCAGGAGACTCACTTGAGCCCAGGAGTTGGAGGTTGCTGTGAGCTGTGAAGCCACGGCACTCTACCCAGGGGGACAGCTTGAGGCTCTGTCTCAAAAAAAAAAAGAAAGAAAATCAAGTTCTTTGTAGTCACCTTTGAACAGGAGTAGATAAAACTATTAGAATGAGGATTAAAAAAGGGAATGTTAAAAATACTCAATAAGTCTTTTTTAATTTGGACCCAGCAGAATGGCTTCCACAAAGAACGGTGCTGAGCAGAAGGGCCTTTCTGCCATCACTAAGGTGATGACCCAAGAATACACCATCAACACTTAGAAGCGGATCTCTGGAGTGGGCTCCAAGAAGCATGCCCTGCAGGCGCTCAAGTAGATGGGAAACTTGCCATGAAGTAGATGAGAATCCAAACATGCACACTGATGTCAACCAGGCTCAAACAAAGCTGTCTGGGCCAAAAGGAAAAAGGAATGTCCCCCACTATATCTATGTACAGTTGTCCAGAAAATCTAAGGATGAAGTTTCACCAAAGAGGCTCTATACCAGTGGTTCTCAACCTTCCTAAAGCTGCAGCCTTTTAATACAGTTCCTGTGGGTTGCAACCTACAGGTTGAGAACTGCTGCTCTCTACTTTTGTTATCTATGTACCTGTTACCACTTTCAAAACTCTATAGTCAAGATGAATGAGAACTAACTGTGGATTGTCAGATACATTAAATAAAGTTTTATCAAACAACTAAAAAACAGAAACAAAAACAAAATTAGAATGTAAGAAATAGTCATATTTATATGTTACTGGGGAGTGAATAACTCAACCCACAATCAACATATAACAAATTCCCTCTTCTAGTTATCAAACTGTTACCTAAAAGCCCAAGTTACAAAGTCCATACAGAGGTAGGTCATTAAAAGTCAATCTTGTTAATGGAAAGTCATTTTTACACGTGTTTTGAAGTATAAAATAAGCCCTTCCAATGACATCCAATAAAATGAAATTAACTTAATAAATAACTCATACCTCAAAAACCCAAAACATATTTACTGTCAATTAAAATTATTTTTTAATTGTGGTAAAATACACACAACAAAATTTACCATCTTAACCACTTTTATGTGTTCAGGAGTAACTACGTTCACACTGCTATGCAACAAATCTCTAAAACTCTTCATCTACTGTTATAAAACAAAAACTCTGTACTAGTTAGATACTAACTCCCCTTAAGCCCTAATAACCACCATTCTCCTTTCTGTCTTTATGAATTTGACTACTCTCAGTATCTCACACAAGTACAATATTTGTAATTTTTTGACTAATTTATTTCACTTAGCATAATGTTCTCAAGGGTCATCCATGCTGTAGCATGTATTAAAAATTCCTTTCTTTTTTAAAGCTGAATAATATTGCATTATATGTGTATACATTTTATGTGTTGTTCACTAAGCCATCAATGAACACCTAGATTACATCCACCTCTTGGCTACTATGAAAAACGCTCCTATGAACATGGGTGTACAAATATATCTTTGAGACTTGGTACCCCTAACTCAGTGAGTAGGGCGCTGGCCACATACACCAAATCTGGCATGTTCAAGCCCGGCCAGAGCCTGCTAAACAACAACAATGCCAAATGCAACCAAAAAATAGCCAGGCATTGTGGCAGGAGCCTGTAGTCCCACCTACTTGGGAGGCTAAGGCAAAAGAATCTCTTAAGCCAAAGAGTTGGAGGTTACTGTGAGCCGTGATGCCACAGCACTCTACCCAGGGTGACAGAGTGAGATTCTGTTCCAAAAAATATATATATATCTCTTTGTGAGACCCTGTTTTCAATTTTGGGAGGTTTAAACCCAGAATGAAATGGCCTAATCCTATGGTTACTCTATTTTTTAAGTTGCTGAGGAACTACCATACTGTTTACTAGTAATTTTTAGTACTCCTATAGCAGCTTATTGAGTTACAATGGGTTTATTAAGCTGTAACCTCATCATAAGTCAAAACTACATTTATTTATTTTGTTAGCATCAGGGTCTCCCTATATTGCTCAGGCCAGCCTAGAACACCTGGGCTCAAGCAATCCTACCTAGTCTACAAATAGCTGGGACTATAGTATACACACCACCACATCTGACAAAACTGCCTTTAACACCCTGGTAAACCCATCATAAAGTGAAAAAAAATCGTAAGTCAGGGTCTCTCTTTGCATTTACCCATTATCCTCTTTCTACCCAAATTGTCCTTATAAACAAATAATATAAACCACAGATATAAACTCTGAAGTCTCACTAGTTGACCTTAACAATTTATATTTGTTTATGGTATACAGCAGAATAAAATGTAAATCATACACAAACGTCTTAGAAAATAATTAAGTAAATTATACATATAAACTATATTTGGCTTCTTAAACACAAATCTTAAAGTTTCTGTAAGAGGTCAGCTTCAAAGTTTACTGGATACAGTTCAGAAGTGTTAACGCCAAGATTCTTTTTTTTTTTTTTTTGAGACAGAGCCTCAAGCTGTCCCCTTGGGTAGAGTACAGTAGCATCACAGGTCACAGCAACCTCCAACTCCTGGGCTCAAGTGATTCTCCTGCCTCTGCCTCCCAAGTAGCTGGGACTAAAGGCACCTGCCACCAACGCCCAGCTATTTTTTTGGTTGCAGCCAACATTGTTGTTTGGCGGGCCCAGGCTGGACTGGAACCCGCTAGCTCAGGTATATGTGGCTAGTGCCTTAGCCACTTGAGCCACAGGCGCTAAGCCTAACTCCAAGATTCTTCCTAGTCCTTTTGAGGACCCAGAATATGTATAATGCCAAATCTAAATTAAATACAATAGAACCTCTATAAGTTAACTACCCAAGTGATTGTGATAAATGGGTCAACATACAGACATGGTCAACAAAAGGGACTAGGCCTACTATACTGGATAGGTACATGTGGTTCATGTCCAATCTGTGAAAATTAGGTCACCTTGAGAAGGTGTTCAATCTAGGGAAGTGGTTAACTATGGAGGTTCTACTGTAAATCAAATGTAAACTATCAATGAACAAAAGCCTAATTTATATAACATGAGTTACATCAATCAACATTTACCTTTCAATAAAAATATTTTTAATTAACTCTTTTTTTTTTTTGAGACAGAGCCTCAAGCTGTCACCCTGGGTAGAGTGCTGTGGCATCACAGCTCACAGCAACCTCCAACTCCTGGGCTCAAGTGAGTCTCCTGCCTCTGCCTCTCAAGTAGCTGGGACTACAGGCACCTGCCACAATGCCCAGCTATTTTTTGGTTGCAGCTGTCATTGTTTGGCGGGCCTAGGCTGGATTCGAACCTGCCAGCTCAGGTGTATGTGGCTGGCGCCTTAGCCACTTGAGCCACAGGCGCCGAGCCTAATTAACTCTTAAGTGTATAACATATGTATGGGGTACAGTACGGCTAAAAATAGATAGTTTAAACTAATTTTGCTCCCAACCCTGTCACCCTGCACTCACCCAAGACAACTATAAGTTTTATATATCCTTTCAGATACAGGCTATCTCCACCCACTTACCTTTGAAATCATGTTCATCCCCATTGCATCTCCTGATCTGGACTGGAAACGGATATAAAGGTTGCGTCCAGCTATACTCATATGAAGTTTCTGTAGACGTGCAAATCTGTAAAAGAAAAGATGCTAAGATTTTATTTCATTCTTTTTAAGACTGGTCTTAAAATGTAATTTCATGCATAAGAGAAACCTCATAGAGATTACTCATTTCTTCTTTTAAGTAAACAATGTACTGGGGACACTATTTTAATGGTTTCATTCTTAGAGGCTACAAGAAAGGGCGGTAGACAATTATTTCCTAATAAACTTTAAAAGTTTCCATCAAAACAAACTTCTTCTTCATTATGCTTCTCTGTAAATTTGCCTTTTTCCAAAGTAAATCTGCTATGCTGATACTTCTATCCTGATTAGAAAATCTTTTTTTTTAGAAAATCTTAAAAAAAAAAGGAAATCTTTTCTTCAGACACAACTCTCCCCTAGGGCAAAGTAATACGCAAATCAATTTATTAGCTCACACCTTTTTTATTATACCTCTATCAAGGTATTCATTTGAATTAAAATTCTTTTTTTCCCTCTTACTCATTATGAATGAATAGATTTAAAGTTGATATTCTGTTTTCTTAAGCAGTCAACATGTTAACAATTATGTTTAACAATCACAGAAAACGGTAATGGTTCTGAAATCAACGTAAACACACATACAGAACCACTCACCTGCTGGTGCTATCAAATGCCTCCTTTATCACTGTGAACCCTTCCGGTGTTTCAAGCCAGGCCTTCACTTCTGCAGAGTCACAAGCACGCGGAAGACGCACCACAGGGCCACGAGTCATACCATCCGCAAGGACTCGGCTGCTGGCACCTCCTCCAAGCTACAGAGTATGTTATAGAAATATATTAACCCAGAAAACCTGGGTATTCCAAAGGTGTCAGGAGATTATCCCCAAATCCCTTCTTATTGCCTTGTCTAGGTAATAGGCAAATATATAATATAATATCATACAAATAATATATACTTACGCCTATTGCTCTGCAGCCTCTGTTAGTGCTGGCCACAAGACAACCTTCTGTTGTTGCCATTGGAACCTGAAATTCTTTACCATCCAAGCACAGAGGTCCTGCCACTCCAACAGGGATGGGCATATATCCAATAACATTCTCGCAACAAGCTCCCATCACCTTAAGTATAAAGACAGGCACCAAGTGAAAATCTATGTTGTAAGCACATAGCAACTCATCTCAGCAGTCTTCTCATTAATCATTATCTTCAAACATAATCCTTGGCTCAGTACCCATAGCACAGTGTTTACAGTGCCAGCCACACACACCCAAGCTAGCAGGTTCAAGCCCAGCCAGGGCCAGCTAAACAATAATGACAACTGCAACAGAAAATGGCTAGGCATTGTGGTGGGTGCCTATAGTCCCAGCTACATGGGAGGCTGAGGCAAGAGAATCGCTTAAGCCCAGGAGTTGGAGGTCGCTGTGAGCTGTGTTGCTATGGCACTCAACCAAGGGCAACATAGCGAGACTCTGTCTCAAAAAAAAAAACACCTTAATTTAAATCTACTATTTAAAAGTATTCTAAATACTGAATACTTTTCAGAATACTGAAAGCTTTGAGTAATGACTATAAATACAAAGAAAACATTTGCATTTCTAATACCTCTATCATAAGCACAATATAAAATTATAGTAAGATGATTTAAAAGAGACATTTTATAAAGTATGTACATACAAAAAACTGGCCAGTTGTTCTTTCTGAATTTCTGTGTGTTCAGAACACAAAGTTTTTTATAGCCACTTGTGGCCATTTTGTACAATTTTGAAATAATAAAAGTAAACCTTTTTTGGATTAGTAAATAAAAACTAAATAAACCTTTTTTGGTTTAGTAAACCAAAAAGACCAAAAAACTATAAAGCTAAGCTCTCTAATCAAGAAAATAACATACCAGGGAGTAATTATAGTCCCTATAAGGTAGGTACTGAAGAGAAGAAGGTTCCGAAAGCTTTCTGGAAAGTAACTGTCGGCGAATTGATACACCTCGTTCATGGGTTTCCATCAGAGTTTCCAATTTGTAAGCTGGGATATGCTTAGCGTTGACTAACTGGATGATCTCAGCATCACTAAGAAATTTTGCACCTTTCTAAAGAAATGGAAAAAAAAACAAAAAAAGGGTCAAAGAGATGGCCGAAGGCTTGAAGAACTGTACTCCACATTATTCATAAGAAATAAACCATTTAATACAAATACTAAATTAAAATAATGCAAATCTTTTTTATTAAATGACTAGTTTTTAAATAGAAATATACTCCTGCAAAATAAACAATTCATTTAAAATAAAAAATACCAAGTAAAAATAATACAAGTACCATACCACTGTAGAGTTTATAATACAAAGACAGACTTGTATTAATACACAGTACAAAGATAAATGTGATTCTGCAAGGTTCAAGTGTTTGTTAAATGTAACAGCTATTGTTTGAATACTAGTAAACTTTTTATAAACGTTTAAATTTTTCAAAAAAGCAGTATGTTCACATGGTTAAGAAATTAAAGGATATAAAAAGATACGTAATAAAAAGTTTTCTTCCTAACCCTATCTACCGAAGCCAAGTTCTTTGCTATCTATACTCAAATAGATAAACAAGTAATCACTGTTTTCTTTTATTGTGTATTCTTCCAGAGATTTTTTTATGCATGACTATACATACATGAGTATAGATCCATGTAAGCGTGGGACCAAAAGGTAAGTATATTTGTAATTTTACAAATTTATAATTGTTAATTTTAATAAATATTACCAAATTGCATTCTCACCAAAAAGCAAGAAAATGCTTTTCCCTACAACCTTAAAGGAGTATATTATTAAACTTTTGGATTATTATCAATCTAATGAAAAAAAAAATTTCAAGTATAATTTTAATTTGCATTTCTAAGAATACCATGGATCATCTTTTCACGTTTTGAAAAGCCCACATGTGGGCAGCACCCATAGCTCAGTAGGGCACCGGCCACATACACCCAGGCTGATGGGTTCGAACCCGGCTCAGGCCTGCTAAACAACAATGGCAACTGCAACAAAAAAATAGCCAGGCGTTCTGGCAGGCACCTGTAGTCCCAGCTACTTGGGAGGCTGAGGCAAGAGAATCGCTTAAGCTCAAGAGTTTGAGGTTGCTGTCAGCTGTGATGCCACAGCACTCTACCAAAGGTGACATAAGATTCTGTCTCAAAGGAAAATAAAAAAGAAAAAGGAAAAAAAAAGCCCATAGGTGCTTTTATCCCTCAAAATAGACTTATCACATTGTTAAGTCTTATCAGTCTGTAGGAGCTTATCTGTTAGTGAGATTAACCCTTTAGTCTGAGATGTAAGTTGTAAATATTTTCTACTTATTAGTTGTTTCTTGACTCTGCTTGTGGTGGCAAAACATATACACACATCTGAGTCGCCCCCCTCTCCAAAAAACTGGCACCTTAATGGGTTAATAATCACAAGTAATTCCATTTTGTGACTACAATCTATGGGTTTATTACTCAAGGATCTTCTTCGCAAACACTAATTTTAGCTTAATTTTTCCAAGAAATATTAAGATAAGCACTCACAAATATTAATATAAGCCAATGCAAATTCATCCATTCCTTTTGGGGGGTTTTTTTTTTGGCAGTTTTTGGGCAGGGCCAGGTTTGAACCTGCCACCTCCACTATATGGGGCCAGCACCCTACTCCTTTGAGCCACAGGCACCGCCCAATTCATCCATTCTTTTAAAAGTCACTGAGAACTAGCGGCACCGGCCCCACATACCGAGAGTGGCAGGTTCAAACCCAGCCCCGGCCAAACTGCAACAGAAAACTAGCCGGGCGTTCTGGCAGGCACCTGTGGTCCCAGCTACTCAGGAGGCTGAGGCAAAAGAATCACCTAAGCCCAGGAGTGGGGGGTTGCCATGAGCTGTGTGATGCCACAGCACTATACCGAGGGCAATAAAGAGAGACTCTGTCTCTACCAAAAAAAGTCACTGAGAACATAAGAAATCCAAAGTCCTCTCAAGACATGGACTCAACCTTCTACATCATGTAATCATGCGATACAAGCAACTGGGTATAACAGCCACTGAAAAAAATGCAGTCTATATGACTCAGATATAGAGGGAACTTCAGAAGAAAAATGTTACCTCTGTTTGGAAGTACTGAAGTAGGTTTCATAGAAACACTGGCATTTGCACTAAACACCACATCTGGCTGGGCACAGTGGCTTATACCTATAATCTTAGCCTGGGAGGCCAAAGAAGAAGGATCACTTGAGGCTAAGAATCTAAGACCAGTTTGAACAAGAGTAAGACTCCGTCTCTACAAAAAATAAAAAAATTAGCTGGGTATCATGATGCGCACCTAAGGTACTCGGAGGCTAAGACAGCGTGATCACTTGAGCCAAGAATTTGAGGTTACAGGAGTTATGATGATGCCACTGCACCCTAGACTGGACAACAAAGGAAGGTTTATCTCCAAAAAAAAAAAAAAAAGATATAAACACCTTTAGAGAGGAAGGTACATCAGGAGACAAGAACAACAGGAACCCAGACTTAGGAACTATGTTCGAACAACAGTGACTGACTAGGCTCAGCTCAAAAATGTATGATTACCACCCTGGGCAACATACTAAGACTCTGTCCCTAAAATATTAAAAAATTAGCCAGGCATGATGGTGTGCCTGTAGTCCCACCCAGCTACTCAGGAGGCTGAGGCAGGAGGATCACCAGAACCCAGTAATTCAACGTTACAGCAAGCTATGACTGTACCACTGCAGCCTGGGAGATAGAAGAGACCTTGTCTCACAAAAAATAATAATAATTAAAAAGTTGGAAAATTAATTAAATAAAAGTATATGATGAAAGAATACAGATGAAACATATTCAAGCATATAGCATTTTGCAGAACCAAAATAATTTTCATATTGAATGCAAATAAACTCTATTGATAACCTATCAACAGACTACTTAAAAGTTCAAATTTCCAAACTTCAGATAGTCTTATAAACTCCTCGGCTCAAGCAATGCTCCTGCCTCAGCCTCCCCAGTAGTTGGGACTATAGGACCTGCCACAACGCCCAGACAATTTTTCTATTTTTTATAGAGCCAGGGTCTAACTCTTGCTCTGGAGGGTCTTGAACTCCTTACCTCAAGTGATCCTCCTGCCTCACCACCTAAAGGGCTAGGATAATAGCTGTGATCCTAGCTCCTGGGAAGAGCCACCTCCTGGCCCCTTTCATCTATCTTTGAATCTCATCTGTGTCAAACCCCTTCTAGCCCCCAGGACATATATGAGAATATAGTAGTTGCTTATCTCTGCAATAATAATAAACTAGAAAGAGTTTTGACTACAGAATCAGAAAATCTTGGACCCTGCTCTCAGCCTTATTATTTCCTATGGGTACTACTTTGAGAAATAAAACTTCTTAGAGCCTCAGCTTTCTCATCTGAAAAATGAAGAAGATAATTCTACCTCCCTCTCAAGATTATAGAGAATAAAGAAGATAGTATCTGTACACCATGTAACACAGTACTCTTCAGACAGTAGTTTTCCCTTCTTTTTTTTTTTAAGAGACAGAGTCTCATTTTATTGCCCTCTGTAGAGTGCTGTGGCATCACAGTTCACAGCAACCTCCAACTCCTGGGCTTAGGCAATTCTCTTGCCTCAGCCTCCCAAATAGCTGGGACTACAGGCGCCCCCCACATCGCCCAGCTATTTTTTATTGCAGTTTGGCTGGGGCCAGGCTCGAACCCACCACTCTCAGTATATGGGGCCGGCACCCTACCCACTGAGCCACAGGCACCACCCAGTTTTTCCTTCCTGTAAACAGCTCCTTTTTAAAGAAAAATTCAAGTTTGAGTTTATATTATTGTTCTTACCTCTGGATTCCCAAGTATCTGTATACATTCATCATTAGGTCGAGGCTCCTTGGGAAGTTCAGTTTCAGGTTCCTGTGTTGCCAGCTCTGAAGAAGCATCTGGTAAGGCAGCATTACCAATTACAAATACAGCTCTATTTGAGGTGTCATTTTCAGCCACTAATGGTTTTATAACCTCAGCTGTTCAAGAGAAGAAAAGAAATCTCACAACACCGCACATCATTTTTAAACAGACTCAACTTTTTAACAAATCAGCAATGGAAGAATTGCAAATGAAAAGAATAAAAAATTACCTTTTTTTCCTTGGTTTGCCCCTGTCTCTTCTACTGACTGGCATTTCTGGTTATTTCTAACCAACACAGGTTCACGTCTACAGCAATTATCTGGAACTTTCTTTTGGGTCACTACAGGAGATGTGATAGGGTTTTTTAACGAAAGTGTAGATTCTGTCTCCGCTTGTTCAAAAAAAATGTACTTGACAGCCAGCAGGAGAGCTAAACTTAGGGTAATAACCTGTTCAATATCCATGCTGATCATTCTAAATAAAAGAAAGCAAATTAAAATGTTATTTTATTAGGAAATATAAAAGGCACAACCTAAACTTATAATAGCATGGAGTGCTACAATTAACATGCAGCATGGAGGATGTAGTTAACTTACTTAGACAGATAAAACTGCCAGAGGGAAACACTTGGTTCAATTCTCTTGGACACATTTTCATCCAGTCCTAAGGAAACCTTAGGATTTTCTGCTGTACTGTTTTGAGGAGAAGGATCAGCTATCCAGCGACTGTGAGCATGAACAAGAACCAAGCCTAGAGACTGAAAAATAATTTCCAAAATTATGTATCCTCTGCTGATCAGTGAAAGCTACATTTTTCATCCCTAAAAACTGGACAACCAGACATCATCTCCCATGGCCTCCCCTTACCATGAAAAGAAAGCCCCAAGCTTGCTATGTAACTAATTATTACTGTGACCCCACTGAACTATGAAAACATCCCAGAGGTTTCCAAGAAGAGATAAAGTGGAGGAAAGTGAAAAATCTGGTTAGGGGAGAGAGACTAACAAAGACCAGAAACCTCAAAGAAATGAGGAATAAGTTAAAAATAAAAAGAAGAAGCGTATAGATTATCATTGGGAGAACCAAAAATTATAGAAATAAAATAGGAAGGACCAAAGAAATTTCAAGGGAAAATGAGAATGGAACTGAGGATGCTGAAGGGCAGAGAAAACTATGTCGTTACCATAATCATCTTGACCCTCTGTGTTACAGGATTCGGTTTATTTTCTTCTTCTTCTAAAACTCGGGCAAAATGGCTGAGCTGCCAAATTGGACGACCTTCGCGGCTTTCCCGAGAAAGCTACAAAGTAAGTCGATGTTACGTTAAAAGATATTGATATGTTTGGGTAAACTGATGTAAAACAAGTATTACTCTTCTACTAATGCCATATGTAAAAACTGCTCTTACCTCTAATACCAAGGACACACAAGCTGGGAAGAAAGTCATGAACACGAAGTAGTTGGCAAGAACTGACATGCAGCCAAAGCAGCACATAATTTCAAGCTGACGCACCCCTGGTTAGAGAAAATTTAAGTTTATAACTAGTAAAGTATGTACATTTTGATGCTGCACATCTCACAAGGACTCTTCATACAGGTAGACAAGTACATGAGAATATTAGTACATTAAGCTCTTTGCCGTTTACTTGAAATGCTATTAGCAACTCAGAGGTGATGCCAAGCCTTAGAGAACAGCAGAGTAACTACAGATCGCTAAGTCCTCAAGGGCAGAGATCCCTATCCTCGCCCACATTCTCAGTATCACAATGCCAAGCAGAGTGGCAGCATTTAAAACACACCTGATAAAAAATGTGTTCCTAATCCCCTTTTATTAAATGGTATAGTACCTTATTTTGAGACAAGGAATATAAGACAGGCTAGTCTCATGGAGCAAAACCCTCCAGTTTTACTATTGATCTAATCCTACTGGTTACCCAAAAAGCAATTCCCCTGTGAACCAAGGACTTTATAAAGGTAGAATGTACTGTCAGCTATGCCATTCCTGATTACGGGATAATCACTATTGTTGTGTATCACCAAACTCTAATTTCAATACAACCTCTATCCTACTTAGGAAAGTTCTTATAATTCTGGGTTTTCATTGATCTGTTTGAAAAATGATATAATTCAAAACAACTCAAGATTAAAAAATCAATAACCATCCCACTATGTTTAAGATATCATCTGATTATCTCAAATAGAAGGTAAGAGAACTATAGTCTAGAAAAAAATCTCAAATTACCAATTTCAATTACCCTCACTTTACAAATAAACTTGAGGATAGATGCATAAAAGCATGTGTTGCATATCACTCAAACATCAAAATGCTTTATAAAATATATTTTAAAAATGACTTCCTTTTCCTATATAAACTAGAATAATTAATACTAAACACTCAGTTATATATATATATGTGTATATATATATATGTATGTATATATATATATATATATATATAAACACTCAGTTATATATATATATATATCCCCCCCAGTTTTTGGCCGGGGCTGGGTTTGAAACCACCACCTCCAGCATATGGGGCCAGTGCCTTACTCCTTTGAGCCACAGGCACCACCCACTCAGTTATATTTTATCTAAATTTTAAGATATCATTTGACTGAAAAAATAAAAGTATACGCTGGATTTTTTAAATTCCATACCAATTACTCTCAAATGTGGAAATTCAAGAGACTACAAAAGTGCAGCAACAAAAGCACATAATCTAAATGTTAAATGGTAGTTAAATACAATCTTTGCGAACTTGATACCACTGAAACCATACCTTATCAATGCTCTCACAGTCTATCTGCTATTGCCATGGGCTTTCCTGACATTCTTCCTTATTCTGTCCCAAAACAAGTCTCTGCACAGGGACAGAACTATTCCATATACTTCTAAGAAGCTAAGAATTGTCTTCTTTTTGAACTGACTTTTTGAAAGGATTACTTCCTAATTAATATGTGTTAAATGTGTCCTTTTCTGCCCTAAGCCAAATCCCGAAAAGTCTGTCATTGGGTTTTCTACCTACAAATCTAGTCACTTTCTTTACCGGCCTCTCTGATCCAATCACAACAAAACTGACCTCCCTAGTGCTGTTTATATTGGTTTCATGGCCCAGCTACTACTTTTTGGCAAATCTTCTTTATCTTCTCATACACTGTTTTGCTTGAGTTAAATCACATACCTATGTTTTCACCTGATCAACATGTTTTCTTGAATGTAGCGGTAGCTACAAGACTATTTCTAGTACAGGCCAAGCATAGTGGCTCATGTCTATAACCCCAGCACTTTAGGAGGCCAAGGAAAGAGGATCACTTCAGGTCAGAAGTTGAAGACCAGACTTGGAAACAAGTCAGACCCTATCTGAACAAAAAACACAAAAATTAGGCTTGGCAACTATAGCTCAGAGGCTAGGGCGCTAGCCACATACACCAGAGCTGGTGGGTTCGAATCCAGTCCAGGCCTGCCAAACAATGACAACTACAACCAAAAAATAACCGGGTGTTATGGCGGGCACCTACAGTCCCAGCTACTTGGGTGGCTGAGGCAAGAGAATTGCTTGAGCCCAAGAGTTTGAGATTGCTATGAGCTGTGATGCCATGGCACTCTACCCAGGGCAAGAGTTAGACTCTGTCTCAAAAAAAAAAAAAAAAAAAAAAAAAAAAGTTAGCCTGGAGTGGTAGTATGCACTTATAGTCCCAGCTACTTGGTAAAGGGCAGGAGTATTGCTGGAGCCCATGAGTTTTGATTACAGTGAGCTATGATTGATGCCACTGCACTCTAGCCTAGGCAACAGAGTGAAACTCTGTTACAAAGAACCAAGTCACCAATTTAGTCTGGGCAAGACCAGGAGCTGGAAGGTACTACTAGAATACAATCTTGGTTAAAAACCAAACACATAAGGAAGGGGAACACAGAAGAGAAAGTAACAGCAGTGAAAAAGAAGTCAGTAACCTTCTACTGAGTTTTCACCAAAGTAAACAGACAGAAGGTCAAAAATACCCACACACTAATAAAATTTTAAAATTTTAAGTCAGAATTTAAAAATAAATAATGCAAATCCAAGATGTTCTTTTGCCTTTTTAGAGACACATTTATCTTAAAATATATTAAAATTGTTCACAAACCTGACATGGTACCAACTCCAATCACAAGACATTCAACAAGAGCATCGAGAGTGAACGTGGGACCTAAAATTGCCATTCCACGGGCAATATTTTCTCTTACTTCATCCTAAAACACAGGCCAAACATAACAATGAAAGTAAGGTACAAAATAACTTTTAAAAAAGTTAGTTGCAGGGTTTCTACTAAAATCTCATTTACTATTCAAAGAATAATAAAATATACACTAAGGTAAGATAGGTGTTCAAGATACCAAGTATAGTGATATGTAGAAGATTATAAAAGAGCACATATAGTGATCCTGCTTCTTTTTCCGTTGAATGAACTATTTCTTGAGAATATTCCTTTGAGGTGGTACATTAATCCTGTCATTTAAATCCCATGTAATTAAATCCTATTAACATTTTATATTTTGCCTACCACTGATAACAGCTTAGTTGGGAATTTTTTTTTTTTTTTTGAGACAGTCTCACTATGTCACCCTTGGTCGAGTGCCATGGCATCACAACTCACAGCAATCTCAAACTCTTGGGCTTAAACAATTTTTTTGCCTCAGACTCCCGAGTAGCTGGGACTACAGGAGCCCACCACAACACCTGGCTATTAGTTGGAAATTTTTATTAAACACATAATCAAGGCAGAAATACAGCAAAAAATTTACACATAAGACACTCTGATTGTTAAAAATGTTAGGTTCTTTAACATGACAATGAACATCAATATGAAACTAAAGATGGGAAATAATGCTAGTGTTAATCCAACGGGGTTAAAAGTAAAATACTCTGGGGCTCTCTTCCATTAGATCCTGTCTTGATTTCTGATGTGTTTCAATAGGTACTCATATTTACCCAAGTCATATTAATAATTCCTAAAACCCTTCAAAAAAAGAAAATGAGGACAAATTCAAAACTCCAGTAGCTATGGTATTATACTTGAATTGTTCAATTAATGCCGCTGTTCCTGGGGCACTTATAAAGACCAATATTTGGGCTTGAGAATTAAAACAAAAATTGTATACAATATCTGAATCTTCCCATTAATGTGAAGAAACTGACAAAAGGAATGTTATTCACCTTCTTATCTTCTGAATAATACTTACCTGTGAGTTAGAACTGAGGGCAAACTTTGCTAATGCACTTGCTCTGGAAAGGTCAATCAGAAGTAGGAAAAAGGGCAAAGCTTCACTGGAAAAAAACAAGATGATTAAGCCACATTTAGTGGGAAAAAATATGATTTAAAAAATCATCCTTTTAAAACAAAACTTATTCCCCCATATGTTGTATGATCCAGTATTATGAATACCTTTTTGTAGACTACAAGGTGTAGTCTGTATTTCTTTGACATCCTCAAAGCTAAACATAATAATTACTCAAAGTATTTGTTAAAAATATTTTTATTTATTTATTTTTAGAGACTTTGTCATCCTTGGTAGAGTGCCGTAGCATCACAGCTCACAGCAACCTCCAGCTCTCAGGCTTAGGCGATTCTCTTGCCTCAGCCTCCAGAGTAGCTGGGACTATAGGCACCCGCCGCAACACCCGGCTATTTTTTTGTTGCAGTTTGGCCGGGGCTGGGTTTGAACCTGCCACCCTCAGTATATGGGGCCGGCGCCCTACTCACTGAGCCACAGGCGTCACCCAAAAATATTTTTAAATTTTGAAATGTAGGCCAGGCATAGTGGCCTGTAATCCTACCACTCTGAGAGGCAGAGGTGGAACTGCTTAAGGAGTTCAAAACCAGCCTAATCAAGAGTGAGACCCTTATTTCTACTAAAAAGAGAAAAATTAACTGGGTGTTGTGTCAGGCACCTATAGTCCCAGCTACTTAGGAGGCTGAGGCAGGGGGATCACTTGAGCCCAAGCGTTTAAGGTTGCAGTGAGCTAAGATGAGGTACCACTGCACTCTACTCAGGGTGACAGAGTAAGACTATGTCTCCAAAAAGAAAAGTACATATATGTACACTCAAACACCTTTTGATAATTTTATAGAAAATATCACCCTTAATAAAAAATGTCTCCGTGAATTAGACAGGAATAAATTAAAGTGGAATATATTAAAAAATGTTTTCATGGCTCGGTGCCTGTGGCTCAAGTGGCTAAGGCACCAGCCACATATACCTAAGGTGGTGGGTTCAAATCCAGCCCGGGCCCGCCAAACAACAACGGCTGCTACCAAAAAATAGCTGGGTGTTGTGG